AAAACAAAATTCCAAACCAAACTTCTTAAACTAAGCTCCAGAAGCAAAGAGGCGCCTGAACCTGAATGTGTAGTCAAAATGCTCAACTGCTCAGTGTTTACCACATAAAAACCATATCCTTCAGAAAAGTCTCAATTGTAACATAGATCATGCTAATCAATTATAATTCTTTGCAAGCTTTGGAAGCAGCATTTAAAAGCCACAGGACTTGCTAGAAAATATACGGCAGGCAATCTTATCACAGACCAGAAGAACACAGAAACAGTACTACCTGAAATCAGAGGTCAGAGCAGATCTCAAAACCTAGAGAGACCAAACCATTACCATCTTCCTTGAAGACAAAGGCTGGGCTGTGATTAATACCCAAAGACACCAAAGAATTGCTGGAGCACACACACACAAAAAATCAACATCCCAGTAATCACCCAATACAATAACTGGGTAAACAATCAAGAGAACCCTCAATACCTTAACAACACAAGAAGAACAATGGCAGATGAAAAGAAGTATGTTCTTCCCATGTTTCTACATATAAAAGTATACATTCTTCTTCATCAAATTATATTATTATCAGGGACTCCAACTTACAACATTAGCCAACAAAGTTACAAAAAAGCTTGAGCATCTTATAGACCATGGGTTTCCAACCTTTTGAATCTCAGGGACCCCCAAACTCACAATTTTAAATCCTGTGGACCACTAAGATGAATTTTAACTCATGGTGGCTTGCTGACATAGAATAATAGAGTTGGAAGGGTTAATGGCTTTTGGTAGCAAGCCTAGGCTTTCAATTAGTATGATAGGCCGCTCTTTGTTTCCCTCTGGTGAGGAAGTCGGTCCCATATTCTAGAGCTACAATAGTCACAGGACTGGCCCTTTGGTCATCCCGGAGCAGCTGCTCCTCCACCCGGGTGCACCGGCCTATCATGAACTGGAGGAGCTGCTCCAGGATGACCAAAGGGCCAGTCTTGTGACTACTGCAGTTCTGGAATATGGGAACCAACTTTCCCCACCAACATTAGCAAGCCACCCTGGGGCGGATTTCCCTCCCCCGCCGTTGGTCTTACCTTCCAGTTCCAGCTCGCATGGCTCTACTCAAGGTAAAGTTTGCATTTGGCCGAAGGGTGAGGGCTAGCAGGTGGGCAAGCCATGTGGGCGGCACAGCCTTGTGTTCCCGCACAGCCTGGATTAATTGTTTTTTTTGGGGGGGGACATTTCTCTGCAGACCATCGAAATTTTCTCACAGACCAGCAGTGGTCCATGTCCCACCGGCTGGCAACCACTGTTATAGAGGGAAGTGAATACAATAGCCTATCAATTGCCCACTGTAATGTCTCCAGAAAATCAAAGACCTAAAAACAGAAGATGAAATTATAGTTTCTTCCAATATCATAGCATTCTTCACATCCATATATCCAGAATTAGCAAAAGAATACGTGACAGCAGTACTACAGCAACACACCTGACCTACCCAAATACACCATCAACTTTTGTCTCACTAACAATTTTTGGTTTGATGGACAAATGTACCAACAAATCAGAGGAACATCTATGGGATCACCATTCTCAGGATTCATAGCAGAGACTATAATGCAATGTCTTTTGGGAAAGGAATAAAATTCACAAGGGAAGAAGAATAAAAGAAAAGACTATTGTTCCTGAATATTTTCATCAGGAAATGAGATTATGGCAAATTAGAAATGCAAATCCACACACAAAAAAAATCCACACTAAGAAGTGTTCCATTGCCAAAGTAACATTTCAACTTCCCCTAAGAACAACTGCGCAAGAACATTATTTGGATGAATGTCTATGGAGATGCTCAGTCATCCAGGTCATGGTTGTCCCAAAGATGCTTTTTCAAAAGGAAATTTGTTTTTCCTTGAAGATGTTTTGCTTCTCATCCAAGAAGCTTCTTCAGTTCTGATGAGAAGGAAACATCTTCAAGGAAAAGCAAAGACTAGTTGCTCTTTGAAAGAGCATCTTCGGGACATTATTCAGATGAGCACAAATACACTGCAACAATACAGAACAGCAGGACAAAAGAAGCAGATTGCTTTATATAGGGTTATGTATACATATATCAGTGGTGGGATTCAATTTTTTTTACTACCGATTCTGTGGGCGTGGCTTAGTAGGCTTGGCTTGGCTTGATGGACATGGCTTAGTGGGCATGACAGTGGAAGGATACTGTAAAATCTCCATTCTGTCCCCATTCCTGGGGGAAGGTTACTGCAAAATCCCCATTCCCTCCCCACCCCACCCCACTAACAGCTTTCCAGCTCTGTTCTCCTGGACAGGGCAACAAAAGAAGACCCAGCTGGGATTCAGGAGGCAGAGAATAGATGGGGCAGGGCCAGTCAGAGATGGTATTTGCCGGTTCTCCGAACTACTCAAAATATCCACTACCGGTTCTCCAGAACTGTCCAGAACCTGCTGAATACCACCTCTGATGTATATATTATATACATCTTCCACAAAATGGAAGCCATTCAACTTGATCAAAAACCATTCAATCCACTATATCCATTGATCCACTATAGAACAACCAACATAAGCTATGAGAATGATAACACTACCATACATCAAAACATCTCAGAAATAACCAACAGACCAGTATAACACAAAGTATTACAAGCCCACAGAATCAGTAGTAAAAAAAATTGAATCCCACCACTGATATATATATATATATATATACATAACCCTATGTAAAGCAATCTGTTTCTTTTGTCCTGCTGTTCTGTATTGTTGCAGTGTATTTGTGCTCATCTGAATAATGTCCCAAAGATGGTCTTTCAAAAGGCAACTGGTCTTTGCTTTTCCTTGAAGATGCCACACAAAACATCTTAAGTAAACCGAAGGACCTGTCAGTCTTGGAAGCCATATTTCACTTAGAAGTACCAGTAGTTCACCTAGAAGTCCAATAAATAAAAACAGCAGTCTTTAAAATGCATTGTGAGGATTGTAACAGCCACTACATAGGACAAAAAAAGCCAAGAGTAGTAGAGTGAATCCATGAACACCAACCAGCAGTCAGAAGACACAATAAAAACTCCTTAATCCCACAATACCTGAACAGGCTCAACCATAGTTTCAAGTGGGAAACTGTGAACATCCTAGACCAGTGGTCGCCAACTTGGGGGCCGTGGCCCACTGGTGATCCACAAGAAAATTTTGATGGTCCACAGAGAAATGTCACCCCCAAAGCAGCCCGCAAAGCAATTAATCCAGGCTACGCAGGAACACAAGGCTGCGCTGCTTGCATTGTGAACACGAGGTAGTGAGGGGAGGGGGGAAGGGGGGAACTTGCCCCACTCCCCTAATGTGCCTGGCCAGGCTGCTTCTTTCTTCTACTTTCTTCTTCTGCTTTTGGCTGCATGCAAGGAAAGCAGCAAAAGTCTTTCTTTCTCTCCCCCAAACTCCACCAGAAATGAGTCTTTGGGACCCTGCAAGGCATCCTGCTCTAAAAAGCTGCACCGGCAAAGACTCATTTCTGGTGGAGTTTGGGGGAGAGAAAAAAAGACTTCTGCTGCTTTCCTTGCATGAAACCAAATCTCTCTCTCTCTCTCCCCCACCAATGTCAGCAAGCCACCGCCAGTCAAAATTCATATTAGTGGTCCGCGAGATTTCAAATTATGAGTGTGGTGATCCCTGAGGTCCAAAAGTTGGTGACCCCTGTCCTAGACCAAGCCAAATCCAAAAATACTAAGAAATTCCTGGAAAATTGGCCAACAATAGACACATAGAAATAAAAAATATAGATAGCATTCGAAAAAGACATTTAAAAAGTTGAGAAGGAAACCCAAAGACTAGAACTTCTCTCCTGCAGCAGGTAAGCACTGGGATTAACATTGGAGAAAAATCACATCCCTGACAGGGAAGCTACTATTCTGTACGTAAAACAAACAAACCCCCACACTTGCAACCACCGATAATGTTCTCTAGTCAGGTAATGAAATGTCTGCAAGCAAACAACCAAGTCTGAAGAGGATTCAATAGGTTTTGAATTTGCCAAAATTCTTTATATTCTCCCTCACTCAAAAGATGCTCATCTAGTTCAAGATATGAACCTGTTTTGTATCTCTCCAGCCTATGACTTTTATTTAGAGGTCCTTTAATTAAAGGATTTAAACTAACAAGTGGACACTGATGTACTTTTCCTTATCTTTCAGATAAAAACCTGCTTGGCGGGGGATGTGTGATAAATCCTTATCTGAAAGATAAACGCATCCACATGGAAGGCTTTATCGCTTAATTAAAACCTAGTATAATGAGCAACGAAGTTAACTGATTATTGAAGAAAGCTCTTCAAAAATATTCTGCTTTACTGTAGGATGAGAATCTTTGTTAGCTGTACTGTACTGTATGATTTAATGATGTAGATTATACCTATATTCTTTTGTGGAAATGAACTAATTAATAAAAAACAAGGCTACAACTTACTATTGTCTGATAAATTAATCTGATGGCATGGCACAATAATCAATAGAACCTAGAGATAGGATGGTCTGAATCCATTAACACAACCCAAGGAGTCTAGGACCTTCCAGTTCACGGTCGGTTATTCAGCAACCAATGAGTCATTTTCAAGCTTGAAGAACAATTTGTTTAGGCTTTCTCATTAGAGTAAAAGCGACAGACAGAACTCCAAAATATTTTCCCTCTGCTCCATTGGCAGAAAAGAAAAAGAGAAAAAAAAACCTTCTCCAGCGGCTTCCTTCTAGTGCCTAGTCTCAGGCGCATGCGCCTCGCAATCCAGTTTTTTTTAAAAAAAAATCAATAAAATAAACTCACTTGACCATAAAGTAAAGGGCAAGAGCGGCCCGTTTTACTCGGCTTATGCTAGAAGGCGTGGCGTCCCCTCTTCCCACCTCCCACTTTTCCCACCCTCATCTTGTCTCCAATGCTGCAGATTGGCCGAGCCGGCGACTCCACCGTCTTCCGCTCCGCTACGGAAACAGGCGGTCTTCCAATATCCCAGATTACAACGCGGCGCTAAAAGCGGCGCTCTTCGTCCGCCTCCTCCGCGTTCCCCTCAGCCAGCTGGCCGCCATGTTGTTCTAGCTTTCCGCTCCGCGGCGGGTGGTCGGTGCTGGACGTGAGGAGCTCCCGGAATCGGGAGAGGCAGGAGGGTTGCGGGCTTTTCGCGCCGCCGCGACCTGGCGAGATCCGACGCCATGGCAGCAGCCTTGGGAGGAGGAGCAGGAGCAGGAGCAGGTGCGGTATATCCCCTTCCCCGTCCTCCCGAGGCCAAGCGGGGAAAAGGGAGGGAGGGTTGGCGGCGGACCCGCGGGGAAGCCTCAAGGCCCCAGATTGGGTGCTGGACGCCCTCGGGGAGAGTGAGGAGAGAAGCAGCGGCTGGTCTCGTGGGTTGCAGGAGGAGGAGGAGGAGGAGATGTCGCTGTTTGCGCCGCCTGCGTGCTGCGTTTGCTGGCTGGGCAAGACAGGCACCTCAGGCTTGTCTGAGGGGCCACCCGACTAAGGGGTTTTCAAGGGGTTGGGACACCTTTCAGGGGAAGAAGAAGCGGGGGGCCCGATCATGGGGGACGGTCCTAGCTCAAGGTTGGCATGACGGGGCCCTTGGTGCTCCCTGAGCTTGGATGTTTTCTTGCAGACCTTTCCTTGCCCAGACTAGGTAACCTCATCGATGCTAATAAGGGCTTTCTTGGGGGGTGGAAAGGAAAAAGGTGATGTCCCCAGTTTGATATGCCAGTTCTCTAAAGGCTTAAGATTGCTGCGAGTGGGGCGGCGAGATCTTTGGGGTGGGGGGTTATAAAAGGAAGATAGAGGTACAGGATATATTAGGGCCCGTTTATTTCCCATTTCCTTCCATTTGCACTCGTTCTTGGGTGGGGTTTGCTTTCTTCCGTCCCGTTCTGATGCTTCTATGAGATACATTTAGATGGGGTTGTTGACACTTGTGTGTATTCCCATTGCTGCAAAGGGCCTTGATTAGTAAAGGAGTGTAAATTATGAACCTGGCCTTACTGCAGACATTCTATAGAATAGAGTAGAGAATATAGAATAGAATAGAATTCTTTATTGGCCAAGTGTGATTGGACACACAAGGTATCTGTCTTTGGTGCATAAGCTCTCAGTGTACATAAGAAAAAATATAATGAAAATTAAAATACATTCATCAAGAATCATAAGATACAATAATAAGCAGTCAAATCATACTAGAGAACAATAAGGAGTATAAATTGTAAAGATACAAGCAACAAGATTATAGTCATAAGTTGGAAGAGATAGGGAATAGGAAGGATGAAAAGAATAATAGTAATACAGTCTTACTAAATAGTTTGAAAGTGTTATGGGGATTAGTTTAGCAGGGTGATGGCATTCCCAAATGACATTAATGTCTTCTGCTTTGAAAAAACGGTATATAAGTTGAACTTATTATGCTTATTGCTTGCTTTTAAAAGACTTACATTCAGCCTATTTATGTCTGCCCTGTCTCAGTCTAGGCTTGGTTCTGGATATGTTCCTTACCTGACTGTATCCCTGCCTTGTGTCTTAAATAGTTGATACCATGTATAAAACTTATTATATATTAAGTTTGAATTTCTCATGTGCTTTCTTGGATGTTTCTCTTCAGCCTAGTTTTATAAGTCACAATTTCTTCACTATGTTTGGTCCCAGAGCCTGCAATTCAGTGTTTTTGTAATGTTACCAAGGTTTAAATAACTTCCTAGTTGTGTGATTTCATTACTTACAGTATATATGAAAAGTCCAAACTTTTGTGTTATAATAAAAGTGAAAGATAAATTCAAATTAAATATTTTTGCATCTACAGGTAGTCCTCAACTTACAACAGTTCATTTAGTGACCGTTCAAAGTTACAACAGCTCTGAAAATAGCGACTTATGAACACTTCACATTTAGCATCATGTGATTTACATTCAGATGCTTGACAACTGAATCACATTTATGACAGTTGCAGTGTCCTGGAGTCATGTGATCCCCTTTTGCAAATTTCTGACAAGCAAAGTGAATGGGAAAGCCAGATTCACTTAACAATTGTGTTATTAATTTAAGAACTGCAGTGATTCACTTAATAAATGGGGTGAGAAAAGTCATAAAATGGGGCAAAACTCACTTAATAAATTTTTCATATAGCAACTTAAATTTGGGGCTCAATTGTTGTAAGTTGATGACTATATTTACAAGTAAAGCTGATCATGTGGGAAGTGCCACAAGATACAATCGTTGAAGTCTTTGGTCTGATTCTCAGTTCAAATTTGCTGCAAAGTTTGTTTACTCATTTTGGATTGCCTCTAAATTTGTAGGCATACCCTTCTTTTCAGTGCATTGTTAATAATAAAGCATATAGAATAGTGATATGTTGCTGATCTGAGCATATACAGAATCAGTGCAATAGCTGTAAATTGAATGAAAACAAAACATTTCTTTGAAATGCGGCATCTTGCAGGGAAAATATGCTTTTACTACAAAGCTTTGTTTTACTTTTTGCTACTTATTGACTGTAAGGTTACAGTTTTTGTGACAGTGTCTTGTTTTACTTGGATTTATGTATCCAAATTGATAGGCTATTTTCTTTGCTTAACCCTTACATCCCAGTTAAACAATTTGGGATTTTGGAGTGACAAAAGTACATTTATTTTTTGGAAAGGAACCTTCCCCCACACCTTTATACCTCTTCTCCACAAACTTTCATGGCATTTTTTTGTTTCCCATTATGAATGAAAAGAAAGAAGAGGATTGGTTCTGAAGAGGGCTGTCCTATAGCAAAGATTTTTATTCAAGGCTTTATTGTAGTTATAACTTATTTATGTCCCAATACAATATATACAGGTTGTTAACTGTTTGCTGACTCTTAACTTGCTTGTGCTTTGCTGGCATGAGGTGGCACTCTGCCATGAACTATGGAGAAAGGGGAGGAAGGGGGTATGTGTGGGAGACTGAAGAAAGGTGCTGTACTGTTTCGAGAAACTCTTCAAAGTCGCCAAGCTGGAAGGAGGGAGCAGCATACCAGAACTTCAACTGTCTGTTAAGAAAACAGCTTGCAAGATTTTAATTGGTTACCTTGGAGTGGGAAATGAAAGACGAGGGGCAAGCAAGAAAAAGTGTAAGCTAAAGATTTTGCTGTGCAAATCTCAGTTCTGGCTATGTATGACCTACAATACATTTGATCTCTAATAAAAATATACCTTTCTCAGCAGCTGGTCAAGAATTGTTTTCTACTTAGAAGTTAAAGTTTGTGGCAGTTCTAAAATTACCAGTGTAAATTAGAAACAAATTTAATAACATGAAGTTGCATACTAAAATAGTCACAATATTTAAAAAAAATCAAAGTAACTATACTACCTAGGTTAGAGTGACATTTTAGTAGCTAAGATTTAAGGGAGGAAGATAATGTTATAGGTACTATGCTATCTACTCATAGCTAGGCTGTTTGGACTGTTGAGTTTTACATCTTCCTTTTTAGGATTTAAAATATAATTACTACCTATATAATTATTCTATAAGTGCCTCCATTTATATAATAGAATACTTTATTTGTCCAAGAATGATTAGACACCCAAGGAATTTGTTTAGGTGCAAAGCTCTCAGTGTACATGCAAAACAACAGTTGTAATAATCATAATGATACCAATTATCATTGGAGGAGGTAGTAGAGCAGATGAGACAGATAGTAATAATACAGCTATACCACATAGGGAAATATAGTTAGGCAGCACATATGTTCACAATTTGTATTCTAAATAGATAAGATACCTGTTCGGTAGACATAGAAAACTACTTTTGTAAGAATATTGGTATCATAATATCTAGTGTTCTTGCAATTATATATTATTCAAGGAGGAAAGGGAACACATACTTAGAAAGGCTTCTCTGAAAAGAGATCTCTATATCTTTAGATGGCTATTCTGAATTGGTGGTTTTGGGGATTCCAGATTTGCCTAATAAAATGAGAGAATCAAATGGCAGGTATGCTTGCAACTGATGGAAGGTTTTTAGTTCACATGTCAAGACTGTGAAGTATGCTATATAAATATTAAAATATTGCTTGAACTTGAAAGATCTATCTTCTAGTAGTCTAAACCACTTCCTGATTAATTAATTCTAATTGTCAGTTGATATAAGATGCTTTGGAAACTTGTTATAAGATACAATACTGTATAGTAGACTGTCTATAGTAGTAAGGTAAGAGGATATTGGAAACTCTTCTGCAAATATTTAAAGTTCTTGCAGTTTGAATTGTTCTTGTCATAGGTGACCTGGCTAGTATTATTTCTTCTTTGCATTCTTATGTCCATACTTGAGCCTTAAAATGCAAAGTATGATGAAAAATCTTTTAGAGAACAATTACAGCATATATTAGTGGAAAATCTGGAAATCTAGTATTGTTAATGCAAGAGGAACTTGGATGGTCGAAATCATTAAATGTTGGACTGTGATCCTTAGATGCTTCTAATTACAGTATTGTTTTGTGTATTTATTATCAGATGTCAGAGCTTCATTATCAGGTATCCTTTTCCCTTCAAACAAATTGTGCCATTTAAATTCTTTTCTTGAACTAAACAGCTGTTGGATTTCGGATTTGAATATTTGGTAGTGTACTGAATTGTGTTTTAGAGAACTTTCATTAAGTAGAATATGATAAATGAATTTGGCTTGTTTATCACAATACTATTTGCATATGATTTAGCTATTCAAAGTACATATGAACTGCTAAACCTAGAAACTCTAAATGAGTGAGTATACTGTGTTATAACAGATCAAATGTTGATTTGGTCCAGCATCCTTTTTAAATCCCCACCTCCCCCACTGACTGGCCATCTATGTCTGAGAGGTCCAGAAGCAGAATTTGAGGATACATTAATCTATTTGGTTTATGTTCTTCAGCAATTAATACTTATGATAATATTGCATTCAAAGCTGCAGAAAATATATTTCCACCAGGCTTAATAGCCATTAGTAGTTTTATTTTCTATTAATTTGCCCAGCCTGTTTTACATGTTTATGGTATTGTCCCAATTTAAGGAAGTACATTCTGTAGTTAAACGCAAAGCTTCCTTTTGCCAGTTGACAGTGTGCCCTATTCAGTTTCTTTCAGTATTTTAGAGGTTTCAGCATAAAAGAGAGCAGAAGTCTTCATTCATACATTTTCTTTTATTAAATTATGAGAGTTATATTTCAGCATATAGGGAGGACATCAGTTAAAGAAAACTGACATGTTATATTCCTACCTTCCTTTCTCTTTTTGAAAGTATGGAACAGAAACATTGTTAAGAGTTGTTATGAATCCTTAAATCTATTGGTTAAGTATATATTCCAATATTATAGAAGACATTGCATAAATTCCATGTGCATAAATGAATAATACAAGAAGTGAGTAACTTAGGTTTCTGTAAACATTTATTTCGCATAATTTGTATGCCACATTTCATTTTATGCAGCCTACAGCAGTAAGTCATAATGACCTGACATAGGTAATCTTATTACCTTTCCTTGAAGGCCCAAAGTATAATATTCTCCTGCTTTTGGAATCCAATAAAGGAAGGAACTGTTCTGATTTTGGGGAGACAGGAACAAAGAATTCCAAAAGAAACTTGTTTTGTACTCCCCTCATCTAAAACCTTAGTGGGGAGAGTTAGTTTCATTAATCACTGGCATCCTCACCTGAACAGAATCCACAGACCAGAGAAATTCTACTTCAGGAACAGTCCTGAAGACCCCAAATCATAAAGGGCTTCATAAGCAATGACCAGCATATAGAATTGTACTCAGAAGTGTAGTGATACCTAGTGTGGCTCCTGCAAGGTGGAGAACATTTGGTTAATCTGACATTGCCCCATCAGCAGCTGGGCTACTGCAGTTTGAATCAGTTGCAATTTCTGAATAGATTCCATAGGAATTAATTTGTTAATTGTAATATACTGAGAGTATAAATGATAGCAGAATATCTTATTTCAGAAACTATTGCTGGACAAAGAATCTCCTGGCTATGGCCTACACTAGCTCTACAGTTGAAGACATGAGTCCAGGAAAAAACCTACTCAGATCTTCTAGCACAGTGGCCCCAACCTTTTGGGCACCAGGGACTGGTTCCGTGGAGAAAGGTTTTTCCACAGACCAGAGAAGGTGTGGTTTTGTGTGCTGCTTGCATCCCACAGATGGGGCTTCTTCACTTGTTTCTGTGGCAGGGTTTCTGGCATGCTGAGGCTCAGTACCGGTCCATGGACTGGAGGTTTCAGGACTCCTGTTCTAGCAGTTCCTTCCAAATAATTGCAACTGCATCTCTTATCATGGCCTAAAGATGGAATTCTCTTGAATTCAAGGGACTTCTAGATAAACAAAGTCTACATTTTGCTGAGATTTAATTTGGTTTCATATATAGGATTGTAGTGTAAAATAGATTTTTGAATGATAATTAGGCAAATAATTTGTTGAAGCTTTTTAGTGAACATCATTTAGATCAGGCCTGCCAGACTGATGGTCTGCACAGGCCATCTCCGCAAAGGCCCGATTGGGTTTGACACCCTTGACCTAGATGAGATATGTACTGAAAATACTCATTGTGAATGCCTGTTGATGCTACATAATGAATACAGAGCTTCCAGTAGATACTAGAATTTTAAAAAGGAATTCCTATAGGAGGGATAAGCAACCTAGATTATTTTGGACTGCAGTTTATATAATTTTTAATAATTGGCTATATGGGACGAACTTGTTATCTTGATTATCCAGATGAATCAAATTACTTCTCTTCTCCTGAAGAGTCAGATCAGGTCTGGAGATACTGGATAGTCAGAGCCTTGTAAGAATCACCTTAAATTTTTCAACCTTTTGTTGCACATGCCAGTCTATAGTATTTGCTGTTCATTTTCATTAAAGCAACTTTCTTACAAAAGTTGATACCCAGCAGTACTTCTTGCTAAAAAAATGATTAAAAGCTATTTTAAAGTTGTTTTCCTACAAGGACAGTGCAGAAACCCAGCATTGCTTATTTTATTATTAAATTTATATGCCGCCTAACTCTCCTATAGGATGACTCTAGCCATGATTCTTCAAAATAATATCAGTACTGTTGTCTGAGAATCCAAGCATTTGTTTCATATTGTTCAAATTATCAAATGTCTTTTGTTTATAGAGGATGACTTTGATTGTCATAAACCTGGTGCAGAAAGATCTTGGAGAAGGAGAACTGGAGATGATGATTGGGATAGGTAAGCCTATCTTTTATGCAGAGATGTTTTCTACTATGTGTCATTTGTTTCTCTCTTTCACAGTTTTAATTTACAGGATTTTGAAAATGTTCAAATACAGACATTTGCTTAGTTATAGAGATATGTATGTCTGCTATGAAGAACAGAGTGGGCAGGGGCCACTTTCTTTAACCAGAGTTGCATTTTACTGTGGAATACATGGGGGGAATTAATGGACCTAAAAAAACGAGCAATTAATTACATTTTTTCCTGTCTACTGTTTTTCCCTGAAAATACGACCTACCCTGAAAGTAAGTTCTAGCTTGGTTTTTACACTTCCCCCCAAAATAAGTCCTAATTAAAACTCCGCCCATTCCAGGGTGCATGGGTAAAAATTAAGCTAGGGTGGGAATGGGTGGTGGAGGAGCTGCCCTACTACTTACCTTTGGACAGTTGCAGACAGGCACACACCCCGACACCTGCCTTGCCGGCCTATTTCTTCTGCAGCCAGCAAGGCTTTCCTGAAGACCTCTGCAGCCAATAACAGAACTGCAGATCGATCTGGAGCTCTGTTATCGGCTGCAGAGCTCCTTCAGGAAAGCCTTGCCTGCCACAGAAGAAGTTCCTGAAGGCCTCTGACAGCGAAAAGGAGGTGGGGGGTGATGGATGCAAGTGAAGTGAGTCCTTCCCCCCCACCCCCAAGACCCGGTGCCTTTTTTGGTGGCAAAAAAAAAGGACAGGGTCTTATTTTCAGGGAAACACATTATATATACTTATAGTATATATGTATATGTAACTGTTCATACTTGTATTTGTACTCCTTTATATAACGTGTGTCCACTAGCACCAGTGAATAATATTTTTAAATGAGCTTGTCTGTTGGAATCAGTGGATAAAGAAAGTCTATGGACCAAATGAGGGAGGTCACCAGATCTTACCTTTGTGTAAACTCCCCCCCTCCCCAGTTTAGAGCCTGAAGACATGAACAAGTTTAGTATTTATAGGTACTCCTTCACTTATAAACTGTTCATTTACTGAAAGTTACAACAGCACTGAAAAAAGAAACTTACAATTGGCCTTCAAGGTTATGATCGTTGCAGCATCCCCATGGCCATGGGATCAAAATTAGGTGCTTGGCAAATGGCATGTATTTCCAGTGGTTGCTGCATTTTGGGGGTGGGTGGGGGTGTCATGAGATCATCATTTGTGATTTTTTTCCAGTCGACATCTGACAAAGGCAATAGAGGAAGCTGGATTTGCTTCAAGACTGTGTGATTTGCTTAACAACTGCAGTTACTTAACAATCATTGCGGGGAAAAAATGTAAAATTGGACATGAGTCACTTAACAGCCGTCTTGGTTTAGTAACCAGTTGGCAAAGGTTTTTAGGTCCTTTTGGAAAGTCAAGAAATGGGCAGATTTCACTTTGAGAGGCATGATATTCCAGAGGTGGGAGCCACAGCAGAAAAGGCTTTTCTGGGTAATAAACATTTCATGGTATATTTAATGGAACTTAATTTAGTGGAGATATTATTAAAGCTGACAACAATCACAGCACAGAAAAACTTTAAAAAATAGTGTAAGTTTGATAGAAATGGTGAGACCTGGGCTGTAGAATTGCCAAGAGTTGGAAATGACCGAATGGATAACATCTTCAATGTAGTGGATAAATTGGATGCAGTAGACAAAATTTGAAGTTTTGATGAAGTTGATTTAATAGATTTTGCTGATGTTCTGGGAAGTTTTATGGAAGATCGCTAGGATGAGTAAGCCAGTGGTCTATGTGACAGGATGGAGAAGATCAGGGGTTCAATGAGGAAGGGGCTGGTTGCATACTTTTAATCTATTTCCTTGTAATTGTTGGGCTTTTACTGTAAGACTGGGCCATGCCAAAGAAGGCAAATTAGTATCTTGGTGGCTATGGGAAAGCAGCACTGGGGGAAATTATTATTCCTTCTGCAGCAGTTGTGGAATTGGAAAGAAGGATATTAAAAGAAAAAAAGCACTTTTCAGATTTTACAGGCCTTTAGATTTACTAAACACCCCTCCTTCCATTAAAATCAAGATTTTACTATAGCATATAATATATAATTATCATATAAAAGTGTTCAGCAACATTTGCTTTTGCAAACTGCTTTTCAGCTGACTTCTGTATATACCCACTGGGATCAAATAATTCTATTGAGAAATTCCATAATTTACACTTAGTTAGGAATTCATCTCTTTGTTACATTTTTCCTTATGCTTAAATCTGCATTTGTCATTGCTGTTCAGGTACTGATGGCAGGAATGAACAATACTTTTTTCTGCACAGCTTAACAAAAAACGAGCTACTTTAAACTTTGTGAGCTTTTTCTGTATAGTAAAGATTCAAGCGAATAAAAGCATTGTCTCTTCCACAGTGCTATCTTCAAATGAGATTACTCTACATTTTAGAATAATATGTGTAATAAGCCTCCTAATGTAACATATTTACAGCATGTTTTCTATCACTTACTTTGCTTTGGTTTTATGCTGGTTTATGAAATCAGAAACTGAGGGCAATGTTTTAAACCATCCTTCCCCAAATAGGATATTCTCCAGATATTTTGGGTATATAGTTCCAAGAAGTGTTGATAGAGAGTGAGAAAGCCAATCCTTGGCCGCTCTCCTATGGTATACTGCAGGACTCGGGACTCTCTTTACCAGGGCGGATAAAAATCGATTAAAAAATAAATTAAAAAAATACTGGATTTTTATTTAAATCATTTTTTTTAATTTTTATCAAATTTATTTTAATAAAATGCTTTTGGAGTAAAAATCTTATCTAAAGATAGTTTTCTATTTAAGATACATTAATAATTTTAACTTATTCAGCATGAAATGGAGCTTAGTTATGTACCATGAAGCTGTATATTCTGCAATATTGGGACTGTAGTTGAGTCAACAGCAGGTTAGGGGAGGAGCCTCTGTGGGACAGAGGTGACAGTTGCTCTTTAAAAATTATGATTTAAATTGAGTTGATTTAAATCAAGCCTTTTTACTAGTGATTTAAATTCTGATTTAAATTGTGATCCACCCTGCTTTTTACTTCTGTTCAATATCTACAAAAAGCCACTGGGTGAGATTATCCATAAGCATGAGTTGAAATATCATCAATATGTTGATGATATGCAACTTCACATATCCGCATGACCTGAGTGATGCTATGCTTTCCTAGTGCCTGGAGGCATTAGGGGCCTAGAAGGGGACAACAGACTACAACCGAACTCTGGCAAGACTGAGTGGTTTGGAGTGCACGATGGAACTTCAGGATCGGGGTCTTTGACATCTTTAATTCTGGACGGGGTTGCACCTTTCCTGTTCAGACCCACTTTGTGACTTGGGGGACTCGCAACTTTTTCTCGAAGGTCAGCTGTCAGTCATGCCTAGGAGAGCCGTAGCACAGCTTCAGTTAGTGCACCAGCTGCAGCCTTTCTTTCCTGGATCAGGACTCTTGTCAAGCCCAGGAAATCAGGAGTCTAGGCAGTACAAATGGGTGTAGGTTTATTGTGTGCTAATGCCCTCTATAAGAATCTGAACTACTAATGGTCAAAGCAAATTGGCAGTAGATAAAGATATGGCAGGCCCATGAGGTGGATTTGGCCCGCAAGGTGTTTAACTCTGGCTTGCAGGGCTACCCTGTAAACAGTGAAGGACCGGCGCACGGTGCCTTTGCCAGCAAAAATGGAGTTCAGGAGGGCCACACACAGCCCTCCTAAGCTCCATTTTTGCTGGCAGAGGGCTGCAGAAGGCTGTTGCAGCCAAAAACGGAGCATGCCGCCCCCTTGAGCTCTATTTTCTCTGGCAGAGGACTGCAGGAGGCTGTTGCAGCATAAAACATTGACATTGAGCTGGCCATGCCCACTCCAGCCTCCGAGGCCAAACACAACGCTGATGTGGCCCTCAGTGACCACGTTTGACACCCCTGGTCTATGGAATTCCAGGTGGGCTGATTTTAGATTTCTTATGGATAAGAAGGGAGACTGGTGATACATTTGACTTTTCCCTTGAGCTCAGCCTGGTCATTCATTTATAGGCTCCCTGCATTTGGTCATTCTTGTCTGAACTACTGCAATGCGCTTTATATGGAGCCACCCTTGAAATGCCTTTGGAAGTTTCAACTGGGACAAGGTGTGGCATCAGAAGCAGTCTTTGGGGCCACGGAATGATCCATGTTACACCACTGTTTCATGAGCTGCATTGGCTGCTAGTTTGCTTCTGGATGTAGCTCAAGATTTTGGCTATTACCTTTAAAGCCTGGTATGACATGGGTTCTGTTCTGACCCAACTGAGTTTCCAGATAGCAAACACAGACAAAGGCAGCAGCCCCTACCTTTCAAGGTTTAATCACGAATTTTATTCTTCTCCCTCGAGCTGCTCGGATCATCCAGAGAGTGGGAGGTGCTCCAGTCTGCGTCTGTGTAGGCTGGACTTAATCATTAGGGAACGCTCCGCCCTCTGTCACATGGTCCCTTGTAGCCTCCCAGTTTATGTCCAGCCTTTGCAGAGTTAGGCTGTGTGTTTTGATTGTGCTTCCCACTCTTTGGCTGATTCAAGCAGGATAATATTTCAGTTCAGGTTTGATTTAAGCTTATTATTTCCTTAGCCTCTGCGCATCTGGGGGTGTCTTGAGACTTAGGGGTGTGCATTTTTCGCCCCCAGGGGACTGGGCGGGCAGCTTAGCAACACTTAGTGCTAACACCCCCCCTACCCCCTGCTGTTTATTTCTTTTTTTCCTGCCTTGCTGTCCTGGTGCCTTTCTAAGGTCTGGAGCCTTTTTTATACTGGTTTTCCCCCCACTAACGCCAATTTCAGCATCCTCGCCCTCGTGGCTTGCAGGATGCACCCACCCACGCTTTGCCTTTCACTTTCGATTTCCAGGCGACTGCCATTTTGGGTTCTGCCTCATGGCCGGGCGACATTTTGCAGGCCTCCTATTGCTGCGACGTTCTGCTGGCCCTAGGCTTAGGCTTCCAGGCCTAGTAGGGCTGATTTCTCTAT